GTGGCTCGTGCTATATTCACGGCCACGTCCTTCGGCCAAAACGACGACTGAACTTCATATTCTTTCGAACAACTAAAACTGAATAGACATGATATAACATAAAAAGGCTGATTACATGATTATTGCTCGAGAGACTTTAACTTAAAACATGAGCACACTCGCGATGCACTCGCACGGACGAACGGCCTAAAGCCGCACCATGATCATGAATAATTCGGAATTAACATGACCTTAACATGAACAACTCAAAGTAAATGAAGTTACCTCTTTACTTACTCGTTGAATTACACCCGGTACTCTCGTGCGCTCGGCGTTCGTGTACGGTGCTCGCGGCGAGGTGTGTGCGTGTGATAAGCTAAGCGTGCGGTAGGTATTAGTTTAGGGAAAATTCCTTAAATCTCTCCACACTCTAACTCTCTATATTAGGGCGTAATATATGCTGAATAGTGGAAAAAATTTCTCCCAAGACATTATATTTATACTAAGCCGTAGGGAACACAAAAATTTTTGAGGTGATGTAGCTCTTACATGGCCTATTCCCTTGGAGCCAATTGCCACAATTTGGAAGGTGAGCTAAGATGAGTCATCCCACAAGCAACCCTATGCCGCCACCTCATGCTAGAATAAAAGGAAATTCCCTTGCTTGAAGGAATTGGAACTCACGGCTTTTTGAACTGATTTTTTTTAAAAAAAAAATGCTTACGGCTTTTAATCATGTTAACCATGATTAATTATTCCTAATCATCATTTTATGCTTAATTTAATTATTAAGCATAATACTTAATTGCCAAAATTATTCCGAACGTAAACGGAACGTCGAAAATAATTTCGAGTAATCTCGACTGAAAATGTTTAATTCAGGAAATAATAATCGACAATATTATTATATCGGAACTAAAAACATGATTTATATTAATAAACTGACGGGATATTACACCCTATCTTTTCGATGATGGTGTAAGGACCATAAAACTTAGCTGATAGTTTAAGATTTTTGCGCAATGATACTGAATTTTGGCGAAAAGGTTGTAATTTGAGGTAAACCTTATCGCCTACATTGAAATTTTTCTCTTTCTGTGTTTGTCTGCTTGAACTTTCATCCTCTGTTGTGCTTGAATTATATTGTCTCTGAGAATTTGGATGGTTCTCTGTTTGTCCTGCACCAACTCTTCTTGTACCCCATACTCAGGCTGTAAATAGGAAGTAATTGAGAACATAGGGGGCTGGTACCCGTAAAGAGCCTGAAAAGGAGTAGTCTTTAGGCTTGTGTGATAGTTAGTATTGTACCACAACTCGGCTAGGGACAACCATTTATGCCACTGTTTGGGATTTAGATGGACCATGCACCTGAGGTAGTTCTCTAGGCATTGGTTCACTCTTTCTGTCTGTCCATCCGTTTGAGGGTGGTAAGCAGAGGAAAACTGAAGTTGGACCCCCATCAACTTAAATAACTCCTTCCAGAAAGAACTTGTAAAAATTTTGTCTCTATCAGAGATGATGCTTTCAGGTAGACCATGAAGTTTATAGATATGATCTAGGAAGACTTTAGCCACAGTAGGTGCAGTAAATGGGTGAGACGTGGCTATGAAATGAGAATATTTAGTAAACCTGTCAACCACCACAAATATCACATCCTTCCCATTGGATTTAGGGAGTCCTTCTATGAAATCCATGGAAATATGGGTCCATGCTTGTTTTGGCACTGGTAATGGCTGTAGCAAACCTTGGTAGCTGGTTTTATCTAATTTATTCCTCTGGCAAACATCACACTCCTTAACCCTCTTCTGCACATCCAACTTCATTGCAGGCCAATAGAAGATAGCTTTTAGTCTTTGATAGGTGCCATGTATCCCTGAGTAGCCCCCATAAGCTGAGTCATGCACAGCTGTCATGATAGCTTCACTCAGATCTAAATTGCTTCCAACCCCAATTCTCCCCTTATACCTGACAATTCCCTTTGAGAGAGAAAACCCAGGGTAAAAGTCAGGTTTTACTGATAAGGCAGCCACTATCTTAGTGAAATAGTCATCCCCTTGATAACTTTGAATGACATCTTCCAACCATCCTGGTACCAGTGTGGTAAGAGTTGAGCACTCTTCATCTGGTATTCTTGATAAGGCATCAGCAGCCTTATTTTCCAGCCCCTTTTTGTACTG